AGCCTTTATTTATTATTATTATTATTATTATACAGTATTTATAAAGCGCCAATAGTTCGCTCAGCGCTGTACATTACAGAGGGGAACAGAACATGTGACAGAACAATACGAATACAATGCAAAACATGAGGGGATCGAGGGCCCTGCTCTTTCGAGCTTACAATCTAGGAGGGAGGGGATGGGCACAGGAGGAGATAGCTGTGGGGGATGGAGTGGTAGGAAGAGTGGAGGAGGTCGGCAAGTTAGCAGGGGGCGGGGTAGGCTTCCCTGAAGAGATGGAGAGTAGGTGATAATCTGATGTGTTGGGGCAGGGAGTTCCAGAGGATGGGTGACACCCTGGAGAAGTCCTGGAGGCGGGCATGGGAGGAGGAGACCAGGGAACTAGAGAGAAGGAGGTCTTGTGAGGAGCGGAGTGTGTGCGTGCTGGGCGGTACTTGGATATTAGGTCAGTGATGTAGTTCGGGGCAGTATGGTGGACAGCTTTGTACGTCAGCGTTAGGATTTTGAATTTGATCCGTTGCGCAATCGGAAGCCAGTGGAGGGATTGGCAGAGGGGGGTGGCGGAAACGGAGCGGTTGGAAAGGTGAATGAGTCTGGCAGCCGTATTCAGGATGGACTGAAGCGGGGATAGCCAGCGGCGAGGCAGGCCAGTGAGGAGGGAGTTGCAGTAGTCTAGTCGTGATATGATGAGGGAGTGGATGAGCTGTTTAGTGGTTTCTGGAGTTAGGAACGTGCGGATTTTGGCGATGTTGCGGAGGTGGAGTCTGCACGAGTTTGTTAAGATTGGACTTGGGGCTGGAAGGATAGGTTGGAGTCCAAAATGACACCAAGTACTCTGGCCTGCGGGGCGGGTTGGATGGTGGCGTTGTTGGACATGATGGAGAAGTCAATGGGGGGTGGTGTCCGGGCTGGAGGGAAGACAAGAAACTCGGTTTTGGAGAGGTTCAGTTTAAGGAAGTGGAGCGACATCCAGTCTGATATGTCGCTCAACAGGTGTGTGATTCGGGCGGAGACCGAGGGGGTGAGGTGGGGGGGTTGAGAGAGAGATTTGTGTGTCGTCGGCATAGAGGTGGTAGTTGAAGCCGTGAGAGTGTATGAGTTGGCCAAGGGAGGAGGTGTAGATGGAGAAGAGAAGGGGCCCAAGGACAGAGCCTTGAGGGACCCCAACAGAGAGGGGGAGTGAGAGGGAGGTGGTGGCATTATAGGTAACGCTGAAAGAGCGTTGTGACAGGTAGGATGAGAGCCAGGAGAGAGCAGAATCTCTGAGGCCGAGGGAGTGTAGTTTTTTGAGGAGGAGGGGGTGGTCGACTGTGTCAAAGGCCGCAGAGAGGTCAAGGAGTAGGAGCACTGAATAGCTTTGGCGGTTAGCAGGTCGTTGGAGAGTTTGAGTAAGGCAGTTTCGGTGGAGTGTAGGGGACGGAAGCCGGACTGTAGGGGATCGAGGAGGTTGTTGTCATTGAGGTGAGAGCATAGGCGGGCGCGTAGACTAGGCGCTCGAGGAGTTTAGATGTAAATGGGAGCAGGGAGATGGGTCTGAGGTTGTTCGGGTCATTGGGGTCCAGGGAGGGCTTTTTAAGTATGGGGGTGATGTGTGCATGTTTCAGAGGGGAAGGGAAAGTGCCGGAGGAGAGGGAGAGATTGAAGATGTGGGTGAGGGAGCGTAGGATGGAGGGGGAGGGAGGTTGTAGGAGTTGAGGGGATAGGGTCGAGGGGGCAGGTGATGAGGCGGGCATCAGAGAGGATCTTGGAGACTTCTTCAATGGTAGTAAGGTCAAAGGTGCAGAGTGTTGGGGGAGCTTCAGTATGAGGAATGTAGGGTGGGGTGGGAGAGGAGGTCAGAGCAGTGGTGGGGCCATGGGAGAGGGGTGAAGAAGGGGTAGCTGAGTGAGGGGGAAGGGGGTTGGAGGGAGTTTGAGCAGCGACGAAGTCCCTGTGGGTTTTTTCGAGGGGGGGAGGGGGGATGAGGGGGGTAGCTGTGTGAGAGGGGACGGGTTGAGAAGGCGTGTGAGTTGCGGCAACGTCCTTGCGAATTGTGTCAATCTTGTTTTTGAAGTGATTGGCAATCTCAAGGGCAGTGAGTGAGGTGCTGGGTGGAGGTGGGGGTGGCGAGAGTAGAGAGTTGAAGGTGGAGAAGAGTCGGCGAGGATTGGAGGAGAGGGCCTTGATGAGGGTCAGGAAGTAGGCTTGTTTGGCAGTATGGAGGGAGGAGGTGTAGGTGTGGAAGGCAGATTTGTAGCGGGTGAAGGCTTGTTGGGATTTGGTTTTGTGCCATAGTCGCTCCAGGGCACGACTGTGTCGTTTGAGGGTTTTGGTGTGATCAGTCTGCCAGGGCTGGAGCGGTCGGGGTCTGATGTTGCGTGTGGTTAAAGGCGCTAGTGAGTCAAGGGCTGTTGACAGCGCATTGTTGTAGGCGGTCATAGCCAAGTCGGGGCAGGGCAGGGGGAGGATGCGGTCATGGAGTTGATCAGCTGCGGAGTGGAGGGAGGCAGGGTTAAGGTTGCGGAGGTTACGGCTGGTAAGTGTGACATTTGGAGGGGTAGGCGTTGGAGGATGAGGAGATAGAGAAGGTAATCAGGTTGTGGTCAGAGAGAGGGAAGGGGGTGTTAGTGAGGTTGTGTGGGGAGCGCAGCGGTTGGAGAAGACAAGATCAAGGATATTACCGTCGGAGTGGGTGGTGGATTGTATGCACTGTGCAAGTGCAAAGGAGGAGGTTAAGTGGAGGAGACGGGCTGTGTCCGGGTTGTCGAGGTTGACAGGGATGTTGAAATCCCCAAGGATGATAGTGGGTAGCTCAGAGGAGAGGAAGAAGGGAAGCCAGCAGGAGAAGTCTTCCAGGAAGCGGGGTATGGATCCAGGGGGCCGGTATATCACAGCAATCTTCAGGGGGGTTGGGGAGAATAGTCGGACGCAGTGGGCCTCGAAGGAGGAGAAGGATAGGGAGGGGGGGTTTGGGAGGACTCGGAAGGTGCTCAGCGGTGACAGGAGCAGGCCAACCCCACCACCTTTACGACCGTTGGGCCTGGGTGAGTGGGTCCAGGTGAGACCTCCGTAGGAGAGTGCAGCAGGGGAGGTAGAGTCAGTGGGCTGGATCCAGGTTTCCGTAATCGCCAGGAGGTTGAGGGAGCAGGAAACAAAGAGGTCGTGGATGGCGGTAAGCTTGTTGCACACCGATCGGGCGTTCAGGAGTGCACATGAAAACGGGGGGGAGATTTTAGGGAGCAGGGGGACAGATACTAAGTTGCGGGGGTTGCGGCAGGACGTGGAGGCGGGAGGGTGTTGTGCGGGTGAGGGAGGTGGTGGAGGGCCAGGATTCGTGGAGATGTCCCCCGCGGTTATGAGGAGGAGAAGGGTGAGAAAGGTGGCATGGGAGCGGGATGTGCAGGAGCGTGAGAAACTACTAGTGGAGGTGTTTGGGTCAGTGGAAGAGTGGAGTAATAGGAGGAGGTGGTGGGTGCCATAGAGGGGTGAGGGAAGCAGTGAGGACACAATATACAATTGTTTGGGAGGAGCAGAGGGATATAGTGAATGGATTTTGGGAACAGAGGAGAGGAAAATGAGAAGGAGGAGTGGAAGAGGTATTTTAGGGAGGTTATGAAAGCAATAGTAGGGAGATGATAGCAATGAGGGGGAGATGTACAAGTTTTGGGGTGGAGCAGAGGGGTAAAGAAATGAGATTTAGGAACAGTGGATAGTAATATGACGAGGAGAAGAGGGGTGTATTATATAAAAGGTACATGGAATGGGACTCAGGTATGTAAAAGATGTTTCCTTGCAGTCTGTCCAGCATGCAGTAGAGTTTCTTGCTGTTGTTGTGTCTTCCTGCTGCTTAAGTTCTCCTGCTTTAATTCAACTGCTGTGTTTAACTGCTCCGCACTCATTCAAAGCTTTATTGGTTTATAGCGCAAAAAATAAAACCACAGAGGTGATCAAATACCTCCAAAAGAAAGCTCTATTTGTGGGGGGAAAGAAGACATCAATTTCATTTGGGTACAGCATTGCATTGTGAATTAAAGCGGAGCTCCACCCAAAAGGGCAAGTTCCGCTGTAAGGACTGCTCCCCATTAAGGATTGACACCTTTTGGGGGGTGGGGTGAGCGAGTACCCGAATTGGACAGGTACCCGCTCCCACTCACGGTCCGATCGCCTAGGCGATCGGAAGTGGAAGGTGTCCTCCCTCCCTGTAGTCTTTTGGGACACGTGACAGGTCCCAGAAGACTACAGGACTATTCATGAAGCGTAGCACTACTCGCGCATGCGCAGTGGGTACCCGGCTGTGAAGCCACAAGCTATCACAGCCGGATGCCCACACATAAGATGCCTGCCTCCTGGAATCCAGGACGGCCGGTGAAGTGGGCTGCAGGCGACACACCATGGGACAGGTAAGTGGCTGTTTTTTTAAAAGTCAGCAGCTACAGTTTTTTTTGTGAGACTTGTAGCCAGGTTTTAGAGCAGGTGTCACTCAGTGGTAGTACCAAAAAATTATTTCCTCTGGAAAGCAGATACTTTGTGACTGGGCCTTGCCATCAGATTGCTGCCGGGAGTGCTTGGCTTGTCTTCACACAAGGTTTGTGTTGACAAGGCATGGTTTGACTCCGAAAACGGGGGGGGGGGGGGGGGGGGGGGATAGTAGTTAATGCAAAGAGTGAAGTTATTCCTAATAAGAAGGCTAAGAATTTGTCCTAGAGTAGCGTTTAAAATCCTATTTTATTTTTTTGTTAATTCTGAGAACTGGACCAGTCTTTAAAGTGCAACTGCACCCTAAACGGGGAATTATGCTTTATACCCTCCCCAATCCTATCCTGTTTTTGGGGGGAGAAGGTACCTTGCTTTTTGACAGGTACCCGCTCCCACTTCAGGTCGGATCGATTATCTTCTACACTCAGAAGGCGCTGCTGCTTTCGTGTTCTCCATTAGCAATGAAGTTGAGCAGACTCTAGAAAATGGGTCACCAGTACCTCATGCGGATTTTTATTTATGTATTTTTTTTTTTTTTTTTACAGGAATTCTTAATAGAAACAATTGCTAAAGATGCGTATGTGTATGCTCAACGTAGCAAGAGGAAAACATTGCAGCGTCGAGACATAGGTTTGTATTGTTTTTTTGGGGGGAGGGGATAGATTTTGAATGGGAAAATGTTGCCGATAAATGGTAAAAGTTTAAACAATTCAAAATGTATTTCAAAACTGGGTTTGGATATTAAGGGGTCTGTTTATAGATGTGTACTCCCAAGATGTACAAAACTTTCATATATTTTACAAATTGAATCCAGTTAGAAAATTGTGAATCTTGGGTGAAAAAATTTAGAAGTAGATTTTTAACCCTTTCTCCCTGAGCATACAGGCAACTTCATGGAAGTGGCGTTTCCTTTGGTTGCATATGTGCTTACAGTACTCTGCAAAAGGTTTCAGGCAGGTGTGAAGAAATGCTGTCAAGTAATAACTTTTTAAAATATGTATTTTAATTGTTTTTAGTTTTATCAATTTACAAAATGCAAAGTGAGAAAACAGAAGAAAAATTTAAATCAAATCAATATTTGGTGTGACCACCCTTTTAAACCAGCATCATCAGGCATCTAATTAACCAGTTATACCAAGCAGGTGCTAATGGTCATCTTGCCCCTCCAGGCAAAGGTTTCAAAATAGACTGGGATTTCAAGATGTGCTGTTCAAACTTTATTGAAGAAGAACAAAGAAATGAGGAACATTGAGGACCGTAGACGCAGTGGAAGGCCAGGGAAATTTAATGCAGCAGATGAAAGACACATCATGTGTATTTCCAGCAGATAAGCAGGGTCAGAGGGCACAATCGTCTTTAGACGCCCAAAAAGCCTTCAACGGTTTAGAATGGCCATGATAGCTTTCGGTATAGGTCCTAATTTTATTTAATGGATACAAATCTTGTACACCTCCCTCCATAGCATGAATAAGAGTGAAAAATACTCTATCTAATCCCTTCTGCAATAGGGAACCAGACAGAGGTGCCCCTTGACCCCTCCACTGTTTGCCTTAGTGGTTGTGCAATTAGTGATAGCCATTAGGCAAGCAAATAATGTAGAAGGGTTCAGAAGAGGGCATAGGGAAGACAAGATTGCAATGTACAAGGATGATGCGCTTCTTTTTGTAGGTGACATGCAGTAGTCCTTATCGTCCCTTATGCATCTAATCTCACACCTTGGAATATTTTCAGGCTTCTTTATTAATTAATTGGGACAAGTTAGTCCTAATGACGTTAGATCACCTTCAGAATTTGTGATGGGCGGAACACCTCCGTTTTGGTTTCGACCATGAACTTCTAAGTATGTGGTAAGATACCACACAGCATTTAAAAAAAAGATGTTAGCATTCATTAAAATACCGCATGAGTTATTTTATTAAGTCATGCGGTATTTTAGTAGTGAAAACATGCGGTAATGTTTCAGCTGTCAGCGGGGTTGCCCACTGACAACAGAATGTAAAAAGAATTGCCGGCAATTAAAAATTTAGCAAAAATACCAGAAACATTTTTTTTCTAAATGGCGTGGGGTCCCCCCAAAATCCATACTAGACCTTTATCCAAACATGCAGGTCAGGAATAGGGGAGACAAGCGATTGCCCGCTCCTGAACCATACCATACCACATGCCCTCAACTTGTGGGATGCTTTGGGGCAGAGCGGGCTCAGCCCCCAAAGCACCTTGCCCTCATGTTGATTGGGACTAGGGCTTCTTCCTCACAACTCTGGCCGAGGGGGTCTGCAGGTGGGGGGCTTATCGGAATTTGGAAGGCCCCTTTAACTAGGGGGCCCCTAGATCCCGCCCCCCCCTTCCCCTATGTGAATGAGTATGGGGTACATGGTACCGCTACTCCATTCACAAAAAAAAAAAGTGTATTCTGAAAAAAATGACAGACAGTAGTCTTGGACATTAAAATGACAAAAATGAAAAAATATTGTACCCCGAAGTAAATCCAATGTCAGTCACGATGCCTGCCGCCACCGCTTACCTGGAAAAGAAAAGTCGACGCTGCCTCCTGCCGTAACGTCACTGGGGTATGCTGGGTTGCTGTCACAAGGGGGCAGGATCACCTGGGTGGCCCCGCCCCTTAGATATTTAAGAACTGTCAGGCCGGTGGACCTGTCAGATAGCGGGAGCCAGTGTCGAGAGCACATTTTGTAAATTATCCTCTTTGCTTATTTGTAAACTGGTAGTTTAGAAAGTGTATGCAATATCCTACTTGGTTTCTGTTAGATAAAATATGGTAAGCTATGAAAATAAATGAGGGATTTGCACAGTACTTGCCAATATGGTATAATTCAACACGTGGAGAACTGAATGAATAAGACGGGTTTGAATTGTGGTATTCTAAAGGAGTCCAATATATTTGGCAATTATATAAGGAAAATAAATTTATATCTTTGCAAAAACTGTTGGATTAGATTGACCTCCCACAACATAGGTTCTTCCAATATTTGCAATTAAGGCACTCAATTCAAGCACAAGCACCTACTCATAATATGACACTACAGTGTTGCTCAATAGTAACAATATTATCACAGTGTGTATCAAAGAAAGGACTTCTGCCATGAATATATAATATACCGTAACAGCCGGGTATAAGACGACTGGGCGTATAAGACGACCCCCCTACTTTTCCTGCTAAAATGTAGTGTTTGGGCTAATATAAGACTACCCCTCTTCCAATGCACACCAGTGGGAGGAATAGTGCCCCATCATTGATGTCACTGGGAGGAATAGTGCCCCATCATTGGTATCAGTGGCAGGAATGGTGCCCCCATCATTGGCATCAGTGGGAGGAATAGTGCCCCATCATTGGTATCATGGGGGGAATAGGTGCCCCATCATTGGTATCAGTGGGGGGAATAGGTGCCCCATCATTGGTATCAGTGGCAGGAAAGTGCCCCATCATTGGTATCAGTGGCAGGAATAGTGCCCCATCATTGGTGTCAGTGGGAGGAATGGTGTCCCATCATTTGTCAGTGAGGGGTGGAATAGTGCCCCATCATTGGTGTCAGTGGGGGAGGAATAGTATCGTTGGTGTCAGTGGGGGAGGGAATAGTGCCCCATCGTTGGTGTCAGTGGGGGGGAGGAATAGTGCCCCATCGTTGGTGTCAGTGGGAGGAATAGTGCCCCATCATTGGTATAGTGACACCAATGATGGGGGCACATTTCCCACTGAGACTTGCTGACCCTGTTCTCATATGCTGCAGCCAGCATATGTGGTTGCAGCAGCACCTCTAGCACTTACTGCTGCTCCGGCACTCAATCCGCCCACTCGCCGGTGATTGGCCGCCTGTGTGCCTTTCCTGAGCTACAGTTCTGGCGGCCAATCACCGGTGAGGAGGCGGAGCCGCGCAGCCGCACAAAATCCAGTGGCCGAACTGAAGGAGACGCCGCGCTTCCTGGACCGGATCGTCGTGTGGGACTGGATCTAAGAGACGTCAGCCCCTGCACTTAATGCCGCAGCCCCCTAACATGTTGTGTACCGGCGTATAAGACGACCCCCGACTTTTGAGAAGATTTTCAAGGGTCAAAAAGTCGTCTTGCAAATACGGTACTACTACATGGGAGAACACAGTAAAGGACTATGTTAGTGGCTAGGAGAGGGTCATATATCAGAAGAATTGTGGGACACAAAAAGCACTATCTACCATAGACTGGTCTCCCTCCTCCCTTCTGTGCAAAGGCTTATACATTTTATTTATATTGCACAGAGCATACCATACCCCATATATCAATGGAGCCTCCCAAAACTATTGTAAATGCAACAGAGGCCCAGATTTAAAACGTTATGGAGGTGTCCCAAACTACTAGAATGATTTTGTAAATAAATTAACCTAATCTGTCACACAGCTTGTAGTAGAACCGAATCTTTGCTTATTATGTATAATAGATGAGGAGGCCATTCCCACTGGATATCTTCTAATCTGCCAACACTTGGAGAATTGGGAGCTCTGGTTAACTATAACAACTTTTCAACATAGAAACTTTCCAAATAAAATTGAAACCTGTGGCTAGCAACTCCAGGTATAGCACCACCTTCCAGGATTACTTTGCATGCTCTCTCGAACAATAATCCAGGACTCATATTTCAAACATCCCAAAAAAAGCTGGACATATTGTGTCTTCTAGCAGTAACGCGACTGTAAACACAATGTGGATGATGTACTAAAACTGGCGCTTAATTGAACAAGGTGAAGTTAGAAGCTGATTGGCTACTATGCACAGCTACTCCCGATTCTGTATGCACAAGTTTTAGTATATTTTTTCTCGGGACTGAGATTAAGCTCAGTAGTCACTTTTGCAGCAGTTCTTTTCTTATTCTGGGTCATAATCTTACACAATGTCCTTTTTTCTTTCGGTCCGTAGACCATTTTGACCACGTTTATGCTTATCAGATGACCCAGAAACTGTATATGCCACCATAATCTTTGATACTGTACCTCGCGACATGACAGATTATTGGCAACTTCAGTCACAGGTGCACCAGCTAAGCGGGCACCAACAATTTCCCCTTTTTGAAGCTCGGTAATCTCTGACATAACTCTGTATTACTAGCAGCACATGCAATGAATGACGAAAGTTAGTCTTCCCACCTGTTAGCTAGGTTTCTCATCACAGAGAAGAAAAAGAATGTCACATCACTTCCATTTTCAATGCAAAACGTCACTTTCACATCTGCAAATCATGTAGGTAGTGTTTTTTTTTTGTTTTGGAATAATAAAGAAATGGCACATAATGTTAGTATGGAAAAGTAGGTCTTTTGTTTTGTTTTTGTTTTTTTTTCCTCTTTTGTGTAGGGTGTGCAGGTTCTGACAAATATTAAATATGCTGTTTGGTACATATAATTTGCCAATGTTATTGATGCTTAGAATATTATGATATGATGCTAACAAATCTGTAGAACATTTATGGCTAACAGTGTATGGGTTGGTTGGTTTGTGATGGTTGGAAATAAGTCAAACTTAAATAAAGTATCTGGTTAAAAACAAAAGTGTGTGTATGCTTTTTCAGAGAGAGAGCGGGTACAATGAAAGGGTGGCAGTATTTACCTATGTAAAAAAAAAAAAAAATCTAAAAGTGGGTGTGAG